GTTTCAGCTGATGTTACTCGTCTTTATCAAGTACAAATAGCATGTGCCATTTATGTTATCATATTATCAGTAGCTTCTCACGCACTCAAGATTTGCTAATACATCTGTTTGAAGAGTCGCTGTTAATTGATTGTTTTAGCTTCACAGACGTTCATTTCTCAGTTTGATTAACATCAGAAGTCTCGAGGAAGAGTAAGTGAGAGTTGTTGCATGACAGAGTGTTTTGTTTTGATGTTATGGAAAGATCTGTTTTCATCAAACGGCTTTAATTTGGACTTTCTATGTTAATTTAGCTCATATCCACGTCTTTCTTTTTTTCTTTGATTTTATTATTGACAAGAATGCCTGATTTTGATATGTTATTGCAAGGTTCATAGTTCGTCGCACCTTAGAGTAACAGTTGTAGCGCGGATTTTAAACTTTATGTGGCTGAGTTTAAATTGTCGCTGTGACGAACATTTCAAGAAGGAAAATGGCATATCTTAACGAAAAAGAGAAATGGTGGACGAACGTGGATTTTATAATTATTTGTATATTGCGTCATTTTTGTAAAGTTTCATGAAAGTACAAGCAAGTTCAAAATCGAAAAGGGAGTCTGACAAGGTCATATCGTATTACCGAAGTTATTCACAATTGCCGTAGAAGAGGTTTTCAAGACACTTCGTTTGGAAAATCAGGTACTAAACATCAGTGGGCATTGCATAAGCCACATGCTCTGGGCAAACCATTTTCGAATCTTCTCATAGTCACCTTGAGAACTCCGAGGAGAATCATGCAGCTGTACCACACCAGCTTCAAAGTAAGCTGGAAAAGGAAGCCGAAGAAGACTCAAATCATGATTAGCAATTACGCGACCGTGTGACTTGTTCAGCTCAATGGATTTATGCTTGAAGAAGGATAAATCGCCATCTATCTGAGATCGTTCATGTTTGCAACAGGAAATCAACTATGTTGAAGTCAAGAGAAAAATAAACATTTCATGTAGCATTTTTGGAAGACTGTAAATGTTCGTATCAGAGAAACTGCCCTTGTGTTTAAAACAGGAAATATGCGATCATTGTATGCACCTGTTGTTAATCTATGGATACAAAGTGTCGACCGTAAAGCTGAAAGCTCTTCGTAAATTGCAGATGACTCAACGAAGTAGGGAATGAAGTATGTTGGGAACAGTAATAAAAAGCATTTAGTCTAATGAGTGGATAAGAGCGCATACAAGAGTCTGCAAGAAATGCCGATTGTCGCTGGACCAGAGAAATGTTAGGCTGAGTTTCAAGAGAGGGAGTAATCAGCCCGTAGACAGACCTCTAGATTTAGATGGCACAATGAGCTATTAAAGTTCCCTTAATCATGATGAACAGAAATGCCTGAAGACGGAGGTTTGTGGCGAAATCATGGAGAGGCCTTAATCCAGTAGTGTATGAAAAAGGGCTGACGATGAGGATGATGATCCACTGATGACCGATTGCGCTTAGTATCCAGATACTACCTTAAAATTACAGCGGCGAGAAAAATTTCATTCCTTTGATTTTGCCCGCTTCTGCATATGCTCATCCATTTATTTGGGTCTATCAGCGTGATTGGTAGTACGTGAGCTTCATTATATTCTGCCCTGATATTACTTTTGTGCTTAATGTTCCAGGCCTTTAATGGCAAAAGGGTATTCCGGTAATTGGTGCCAAGTTAAATGTAAGACTGAATATGCAGGATCGGTCGTAAACAGAAAGCTCTATTGATGCGACCTCAGCAGCGAAGGATATGCGTACTTTATTGACTCCGCAGGTACTCCTAAGTAGAGAATCGAATTTTGTTTCTAGCCAGGTCCTTCAGCCTGACCAAACGCATTGCACCAAATTGCATTTGTATTATTATCTTATCTAAAAAACCGGTGAAGCAGAAATTTGCTCTTCGGCTAGGAGTCCATAAAGGTTCAGAGCTTAACCCGATTCCATTCTCGATTATGTCAGGAGCGATAGCTAAAGATCTGCAGAAGTCCCTGC